TGTTTGTTACATATGTTCCTTTTCTCCTCTGTGCAGCCATGGTTGAATGGTGACATTTCCGACTGCCCATGAACGCAGCAGTGTGTGATGAGGAGGTGCTGCAGCTTCAGGCGGACTTTATTCCGTCCCGGGGCTCAGTGAAGGCTGCACGCGCTGCACCTGACAACACGGGAGAAGTGTTCACCCTGATGAACGGTTCGGATATTCTTCTGTTTTATATCATCTCAACAGAGATAACACTTTAAAACTTTGAAAAGACAAACTACCATGTGCCTGAACGCTGTTTTCAGGTGGGAATACACGTCAAGTGGATTTTGCACGCCGGGCTCCGGACCCAGAGACAGGAGAGATTTATCTGCACTTTGAATAACAATTTGTTTATTATCACATTTTTCTGGACTGCTTTTAATATTTTTTTTCAACGCGAGTCTCATAATGCGACTTGTTCTGCCGTTTGCAACCTGTTGGGAGCTGACAGGTCTGGTGGAAATGTTACAAGGTCGTTAAATTTATTGGAACGTGACCACCGGAGATGAACTTTCTCCGTGCAGATTGCAGGAGCTCTGGTGAATGATTGACAGCCGCTCGGGCTTTATGGACAAACTGGATGTACCAACTTGTTTAGTTTGAATCATTAAGAGACTGAGAGGAGCAGAATGAAACTCTGGTCTTTGAGATTCATGAGATGAACTGAAGCTGCTTGCCCCCTCCATTTATCCTTTTCTTGTTTTAATGACTCTTAAGTAATTTATAACACACTTTCTATATGGCATTTACGGTGAGGGACCCGCGGCCCCTCGTGCTGCTGCTGCTGCTGTTCCGGTGTCCTGGTCTCACGTCAGGAGCCTCCAAGGAGCTGGTGTGTGAGCCTATAACTGTGCCCATGTGCAGGGGCATCGGCTACAACCTGACCTACATGCCCAACCAGTTCAACCACGACACCCAGGAGGAGGTGGGGCTGGAGGTGCACCAGTTCTGGCCCCTGGTGCGGATCCGCTGCTCCCCGGACCTGCTCTTCTTCCTGTGCAGCATGTACACCCCGATCTGCCTGCCGGACTACCGCAAGCCCCTGCCCCCCTGCCGCTCGGTGTGTGAACGGGCCAAACGAGGCTGCTCCCCCCTGATGAGTCAGTACGGCTTCGAGTGGCCCGAGAGGATGAGCTGCGAGCAGCTGCCCCAGCTGGGCGACGAGGTCCTGTGCATGGACCAGAACAGCAGCGAGACCACCACCCTGGCTCCACCTTTCCCCAAACCAACCCCTAAAGGCCGGACCCGACCACCCAGCCCCCCTCAGTGTGACAGGGAGTGCCGCTGTCGAGACCCCCTGGTCCCCATCAAGAGGGAGTCCCACTCTCTGTACGGCCAGTTCCACACCGGCCCCCTGCCCAACTGTGCCCAGCCCTGCCACCAACCATACTTCTCAGCCGATGAACGTGCCTTCACCACCTTCTGGGTGGGACTCTGGTCGGTGCTGTGCTTCATCTCCACCTTCACCACTGTCGCCACCTTCCTTATTGACATGGAGCGCTTCAAGTACCCAGAGAGGCCCATCATCTTCCTCGCTACCTGCTACCTCTTCGTGTCTCTGGGTTACATCATCCGCCTGGTGGCAGGTCATGAGCGGGTGGCGTGTGGCACCAGCAGCAGCGTTGGGGGGGACCAGCTGCACATCCTCTATGACACCACCGGCCCCGCCCTCTGCACCCTCGTCTTCTTGTTGGTGTACTTCTTCGGCATGGCCAGCTCCATCTGGTGGGTGGTGCTGTGCTTTTCCTGGTTTCTGGCTGCCGGGATGAAGTGGGGCAGCGAGGCCATCGCAGGATACTCTCAGTACTTCCACCTGGCCGCATGGCTCATCCCAAGTGTCAAGACCATCGTGGTCCTGGCTCTCAGCTCTGTGGACGGGGACCCTGTGGCTGGAATCTGCTACGTGGGGAACCAGAGTCTGGAGAACCTCAGGGGATTCGTACTCGCACCTCTGGTGGTTTACCTCTTCACCGGCTCACTTTTCTTACTTGCCGGCTTTGTTTCTCTCTTTCGCATCAGAAGCATCATCAAGCAAGGTGGAACAAAGACAGACAAACTGGAGCGGCTGATGATCCGCATCGGGCTCTTCACTGTGCTGTACACGGTCCCCGCCACCATCGTGGTGGCCTGCCTGGTCTACGAGCAGCACTACCGGCCCGGCTGGGAGCGAGCGCTGGCCTGCTCCTGCCCGTCTGAACGCCAGCGCTCGGGCATGGGCCCAGACTATGCCGTCTTCATGCTCAAATACTTAATGTGCTTGGTGGTGGGCATCACCTCAGGAGTCTGGATTTGGTCAGGAAAAACCGTAGAGTCCTGGAGGAGGTTTGTGGCTCGATGCTGCCCCTGCTGGCCGCAGAAAGCCACTGCTCCACCCTCCATGTACAGTGAGGCCAGCACTGCTTTAACTGGACACACTGGAACTGGACTTAACTCAGGGATCTACCATAAAGCTGCTCCGTTGCATATATGAAGTGAATGAAGAAAAGGAAGACTGATCTAGGTGCAGTCACCTCTCTGGACAGAAATGAACTAAACTATCCAAACACTCAGAAAGTTAATGCGGACAAACATTTGCTTGTGAATCATTGTGCTCTGAATAGTGAAAATATGAAAAACATTGGACCAAAAGATGCAGAGCGTCAAAAGAGAAAATTCAACAACCTTGGTAATAGCAATTTAAACAAACATTAAACAAAGCTTATTTAAAAGAGTCTGACTTTTGTGAAAAGTGACTCCAACAATTGAAACTGCTTTTCGAAGCGATCGACCACACTTGATATTTACTTGGAAAATGATCTTAAAGGCCCAGAGAGTTACATGGATCCATGATGGAATCACGCATGCTTCTTCCTGTCTGTTTACCCTGAGCATTGAGAGAAAAAAAACATATTTATTGATGTATATATTGTAAAAATATGCTGTAAAAAATATTAGGTGTATAGTGTGTTAATGTTTAGTTTGTAACCAACCAATGCCACTGACACAAGCTAAGTCTACGACACCAGAGAGACAAATCTTGTCTGATTTAAATTGTATTAAGTTGTACATAAATGTGCCATTTCATTTCAATGTTTGAGTGTGATATCTGGTGTGTTTTGTATGAATACAAACTGAAACAGTGCTGAAAAACTGTCTTTGTGTTTCCTCAGACTTGGAAGTCATCTGAGAATCAATCAAACAAAAAGGAATTGAGTCTCTATAAAGGATACAGTTGTGACCTCTTAACCCTGTTGTTTGTATACATCCCACTCAAAGTCACTAAAGACTGTTTCTGAACTGGTTTTGTTTATGTTGTGTGAACCAACAGGCAGTGATCTGGTTAGAGCTGCAGGAAGAAACGGGTCTTTACCCCCATCTGCTGGTGAACAGGGCTCACGTTATGATCTCCATCAGGGATCCAAATAGATCAACTTTAATGTATTCATTGATTTTTTTTTTACCAAAACTATGTAAACAAAAAAGTATAAATTACGAATAAATAGTGATAACAGGGAAATATACTACTGGAAAAATAATGTATTCTAAATTCTTTATGGCTTATTTTAGGACAGTTCTGCTGGGGCCTCCCTGATACAAAGTAAAAGACCCCTGAAAGGTCCCTGGACCTCACTTTGAGAACCATTGCTTTCACATGATTGTATTGCCATGAAGAGACATATGTTGTGGTACGTAGACTTTTAAAATAATTACATTAATAAATGAGACGACCGACTGAACATTACCCAGCATCCATTTTATTGAGCGACTATTCATTAGTAATTAAAAGCAGCAGCAGTTTCTCTTTCTCAATGAAAGCAATTCATGCTTTTGACAGTTGACACTGTAAACTGAGGCTCGCTCTGTTGGTTGGAGAAAATAAACAATGTGAAGTTGCCTTGGTGATAGGCATTACAAAAATCTGCAGATTAATTGATAATGAAAATCATGATTGTAGCACCATTTTAGTTTCATCGCTAAAATCAAACATTCCTTCTGACTCCATAATGTTCTTTTTGTGACAATCTAACTTAAAGGAGACATATTTTTTCCTTGTTTTCAGGATTATTGGGTTTCTATTAGACATGATTACAGTCTTTATTTTACCCAACAAAAATACGGTCTGCATTCACCCCCAAAAAAGGTTTCTTTGCTCTGATTGGCTACCAATAGATATTGCAAAGGTGCAGGTATATTCTAATGAGCCTGAACGTGACATAGGAAGAGGAGAAATTTGATTTGATGTTGGAATCCTACCATTGTCTGGTCTAATGTGGATCATCAGTTTTAGGAGTCTTGACAGTATAAACTGAGCGACTTGTTTCATCTCAGAGATCATATTTGGTGTTTATTTTCCAAACACTACGTACCTGACTGAGAACCCAAATCTGAGAAAAACAATTTATAAATAAAGTTTTCTCACAGAATTCAGAGCAATGGTTCACAACATTAGGAGGACACAGAATGTGAACTAAATAAATGGGATTTGGTGAAAACAGAGAACATTTATTGTTTTCTGCCGTGACTGTGATGTTTCTTTCAATGCTGTTGGCCAATTGTGTTAAGACTACTGTGCGTCCACACGCTAGACGATATCTAATTTATTAGTCTGATTTGTGCGAGTGAATGCGTATGAGTGATAATGAATGGCTAAATGTTTGTAAAAACTGACCGTTTCTTTTGTTGTTGTGTAAATCTGCTTTCATATTGATAGAGTTCCTCAAAGGATATAAAAGATATTGTAGATTTTGTTCATATTGTGGAATTAAAACAGAGTTGATCTCAAGTTTGGTGACGTACGTCTGTGTGTTTCTGTACATCTGACATAACATATGTTGATTTTTTATTACACTTATGGGTATGCAATGGTCTTTTCTCTGGATGACTGGTTAATTCAGCTTTGTTACACACTTTGTTTGTTACGACAGAACAGCTGACCGCACCACCTTTTGATCACCTCAAGCTCAGACACACAAACACAATTCAAACAAACTCAATTCTTTGTTATATGATTAGTGTTTATTTAAAATACTCCATCTGCAAATGTTTTTTTCAATTAAAAACAAGACACATTTCACAGCTAGATAGCCTACATAGTAAGCAAAAAGGAGGGGAGTATCCATCAGTGTTCCCCCCCCCTCAACATCTATGTAGTTTGTTTGAAAGCTCTGATCCGGGCCTGGGAAAAAACAATGTTGGTAATCTGTCTACGGGCTCTTTGAGGAGGGGTCAGGATGGCAGAGGGGGCACAATACTGAGGGTGGACAGACTGGACCCAATCTAGATTTAGTCATTATTTCAACCTAACTGCTGTATCGAGCCAAACGGTAACAATACTGATCTGGAAAGTGTAACTGACCCCAGATTGGCACTCCAAAATCCAAAACACACTACAAAAAGACAACAGCTGACTGAAGGTTGGCGTACTGCAGCCCAATCCTGTGCAATATTTATAGTTTAATACTTTGACATGCTTTGTGCTCCATCCAAATGTATACGTGTAGATAATATACTGAAATAGTATCAAACACCACTGTTATTAACAGTAAACAAGTCTTTTGTTACACTCTCAAAAATAACTTTTGGTATTACCTGTCATTTACAAGGAACAGTTTTTGCATTTGACCTGATCAAATATCAAAAGACAACAAAGGTTTGAGAGTGACCTCATGATTCCTTAATCTCTTGAATTCACTTACGACATTGTGTGTTTGACAAAAAAAGACCAGCTGATAACCTGCATCTCTGACAAAAACTATGAACACACCTCGATGACACACTCTGTCGCACTGGGTGGAATGTTCCTTCATTACTATGAACACACACTTTAGTTGTTGTGTATCGTACACTGTTTATCTTGAGTCAATACACAATCTAATACAATTTTTTGTATTAATCCACCAATAAAATTAGTCCAACAAATGCACTGTTTCCTCCTGTTTGTGTATTGTTTGAGAGACCTTGTTGGACTCAAATCATGTTTGTGATAATTGTTGTTTTTTGTCTTCTCATGGAGTTCCAGTGACTAACAGAATAATGCCAGGATGAATGGAATAAATCAAATATTATTTTGGGGGAAAGAAATTACACTTTTATGACAAAACAAAGACTAGTCCTCAGAGATAACTGCAGTAGAGCAGTCCTACTTAACACTTTCTCTGAGAAATAAGGGACAAGTATGAAATAAATAAGGGACTGTGAAAACAATAGTTTTAAGTTAACACCAATTTCAAGTGTAATTTTGCAGTCATGCAGCTCTCAAGCCGTAATGCAGATAATTGTTTGGGCAGATCGTACAGAAACATGTCTGCCTCCTGCCTGATGAGGATGAGTGGAGCCTGGGAGGTTTGTTCCGGGCTGGCTGTGGGGTCTCTGGGTTTGAGATGAGGGCAGCAGTCGGCCTACGACAGCACAGCGTTGGTGTGTCGCACACCGATCAGGTTGTCTGCGCTGCAGGATCGCCTCATCGATGCTTTACACAGATCCTTATACTTGTCTTCACAAAGTCTTGAAATGGCCTGAACGCACAAACAGAACAACAGTTGATGAAAAGATTATATTTCAGATTTGTATGTTTTATGTACCAGGTGTTGAATTTGAAGAATAAAATAATATTGTATTTGTTTCTCTTTAGTTTAGGACAAATTCACCGTGTTTCAAAGTCAACTGTTAGGAATATATACATTGGTTTTTATTTAATGAAACCCCGATTTATTTTCCTTTCCGTTTTTTTTTAATTAATCCCCCCCCAAGAAACGAGGCTCGGAATTTGGTCTGAACTGAACCATGGATTTGGGAAATTGCTACATCACTACCTAAACTTAACCTTGTATAAATCACTTTTATGCATTTGGGAATTCGAATAGGCCACCATCTTTACAAAGACATGTTATAATCAGATATCAGAGGCAGTACCAGAAGAGTGTGATGGGTTTGCTGCAGAGCAGAGAAGTTCATATTTCAGGAGCATCATAATGAGACAAACAGGTGGAGGTCTGATGGGGGGGCCGCTCACCTCTAGTTTCTTGGCGCGTTGGTTGTCGAGAGGCTCCAGAGGGAAGTTGAGGTTGTTGTCATCAGCCAGCTGCCGCAGATCAAAGTAGTACTTGGCATAGACACTGGCTGGCACGTTGATATTAAACTGGAGAAGTTCCAGGAATTGGCGCTCCATCTCATTCCTGAGGGGGAAGAGACCTGAGGGTTAGTACAGACAAAACTTCTGAGCAGAGACAGTGAACCACCGAGTGCAACAGTGAGACAGAAGAGCAGGGGATAAAAGCCCCGGATCCCCATTAACAAAAACAAGAGACCTATGTAAGATGGATTATAAAAGTTACCTCGAAAATTAAAATCTCAGAAAACAGTTTTTAACTTCCTAGCTTAGTAAAATCCCATCAGATCATCTCCTGCACACTGTTATGGCGCATTTCCACTACAGGGCCTCGCTCGGTATGGCTAGGCCTCGTTAGGACTGGCTCACTTTATGCTGCGTTTCCATTACAGTTTAGTAGCTGGGGCAGTAACTATAGTAACGCAGTGTAGGCAGAGCCATGACGTCATCTTCAATGAGAACCACAGAAAAACAACATCAGCCGTTAGCCGTTAGCACTCAGAGCTCACAGATCCTCATATCTGTTCAGAAACTAGACAAAAGTTAAACAAGTACAAACCACAGACTGCCTGTGTCATGGCGAATACAGTCGCTGCTTTATTTATGTCTGTATAGGCCGTTGTTGTGAGTGTGGACGGTCGGAGCATATACTGCGTTAGCTTAGCCGATCTCCATTCAGAAAACACGCATTTTAAAAGGTTTTTCGCCTGCCGTCTGTCTGCAGACTTGTCAAAGCATTAATTCATGGTTTTTACTAACCGGTATCAGTATGTTGTTACTTCGGCATCATTTTGAAACGTGTATTACAATTAAATCACGGTCAAATATTATGTTCATCTTGTTGTAGTTGTAGCCCCCTTGCCAGCGATTCTCTCTCTAGTTTAGCATACTCAGCCCGACTCAGCCTGGTTGTTGGCCCGGAAAGAACCTCGATTTTATGGGGCCAGAAAAACTGTGAATTAGTAACCGCTAGCCGGAACTACGCCAAGTGGAAACGCAACCAAAAACGGGCCGGGCACGGCACGCTTAAAGTGAGCTCCGCGCTGTAGTAGAAATGCGCCATTAGTCACAATGCCAAGCACAACGGCTGACTTTATTGAATTAAATAAAAAATAAAGTATTCTTACTCATACATTTTCTTCAGAAAAGAGACGGTAAAAAGGGGACATTTTCATTGACAAAAGTAGCACTTTTAAATTTAAATCCCATACGATCTTAATACAAAATAACAAGTGCATCTCGTCAGAGAAGGACTACACTGATCCTGTTCAGACCTCACTATGATGTTAAAGGTCACCTATTATTCAAAATCCACTTTTTCATGTCTTTTATAAATAAATGTTTGTCCCTTCTCTGTTAAGAGAATAGATTCGGGAAGTTTCAGGAAAAGATATTCTCTCTCTTTTTGTCCTGATCCGTTTATATAAAAAGTTGTCTGAAAATGAGCTGATCAGATTAGGCCACTTAATGATGTCACAATGTTTTTATGGGTTGCACAACCATTAGCCAATAACCAACCAAGCTAATCCCCTCCCCACCTTATCACCTGAATCTCCTCCTAGAGCACCATTGTGTTTTTGTGAAAAGAAAAAAGGTCCCACAGTAAAGGTTTCCAGCAGGAACTCGTACACCAGTAAACTTTGAATTTACTTTAAACTCAACATGGAAGTGCTTATGGAGATGGAATCAAAGCTCACACACTCGCAGGCAATCAGACCTGTATCTGCGAGCAGCCACTTGGGAGTATCACAGCTCATCTTTTTCCAGACTACAACTCCATCATCTTTCCTCCTCCTCATCTTCATCACAGCCATGAGAAAAGCTAAGGGAGGTGGTCGCCAAGGAGACAGCATCTAGGATGCTTTGTTGGTCAGCAAAGGTGGTGAGAGTGAGCGTGAGTGTGTGTGTGATGTCTGGTCTCCCAGGGCAACTAATGGAGTGGGCGAGAGCCGGGGCCATTATGTAGAAGCAGTGAGAGCACTTGAGACCCTCCCCTGCATTTCTCTCCGTCTCTCTCTCTGTTTCTCTCTCTACCCTTCTTCCTCATCCCTCCATCAAGACCCGACCGGCTCACAAAGACACTTCAATGGCAGCAATGAAAACAGAGCAGAGCGACTGTGGGTCAGACATATGAGAGGAAGAGAGGGAGTCAGAAAGGGATGGGGGCTCGCAGACATGCAGGCAGAGCACGCACCTTTCCAAATCACAAAAAACAAGGAGGCACTTTCAACCTCTTTTATACACACACAAACACACACACGGAGGAAAAGCAATTGTAGGAAATAAAGCCCTGATGCTCCAAGTGCTCCCTGGCCTCTTCAGCGGCTTATAGCCTGAGCGACAGCAGAGGAGCCTCCATCCATCCCAGAATATCTCTGCTGCTCTCCGCTCTAAGTGCATCTTTGTTGTTATATATATTTTATTAGGCGGGCAAGCCGGTAGTGCCAGAACCATGATATATTTGTTAGGAATCACCCGTTTCCCAAAAATATGGAGCTCAGAAACACAAACAGGACCCAAATCTAGAGGTATGTTGAAATGTTAGCCACAACTCAGGATACAACTATTCACGTTTTTATTTGTATGAGATAAATTACCTGACCACTTTTTACAATCTAGCCTGACAACCATCTAGCTACACAACAACTGATATGTGTATCCAATCATTAGAAAAAAGGGCCTGGGTTATGATGGCACATCCTCCTGCCATTCCTATTCCCAGGCCAGAGGACATGCAATCCTTTCATGTTACAAATCAAGGACCCCCTGTCCAAGAAAACAAGTTAACCCCAAGAATCTATAACTGCTTCAGTTGGATGACGAACTTTGCTTCAAGGGGCCAATAAGGAAGTAGCACAGAATATCAGAGGTGGGGACTCGAGTCACATGATGCATATTTTTGGACTTGAGACTTGCATTGATAAAAGACTTGACTTGACTTTGACTTGGTATTCATGACTTGAGACTTGACTTAAGCTTGAGACAGATGACTTGAAAGGACTTGACTTTTGAAAATTAAATATTTGCGTTTGTTTTTGTATTGAGATATTACCTTTAGTTTTTTCGAAATGTGATTGGGTGATTATAGCGCCATGCGCGCAAACCTGGCAACCCACTAGCTGGCAGGGGTGTCAGTTAACATGGCAGCGGCTAGCGTTACTCCACACATAGTCAAGTTTCTATTCAAGGATTATGTTGTCGATGACGCTAATAAGAAGAGAACATAAAGTCTGCAGCATAAAGATCGGTGACAGGACCACCACAACAACTTCATTCGTCACTACAAAAAAAACCCACAGAGAAAGGTGCGTGAATGTGTTGTGTTAGCTAGAAAGCTAACGTTAAGTTTAAGCTACGTTAGACTTGGTTTCAAATCGATTAAGCATTACAAAGAGAAGACACAACAGTAAATGAACACTAGAACCGCCAAGGGATTCATTTTGACTAACCCTGATACTGACGGGCTGTCAGGAGAGGGAGAGAGAGGAAAAGAGATGCCTCGTTTATTTCCCCTGTGTTATCAGAAGTTACTGTAAACTGTTGAATAATGTAGTTCATCTACTTTTAGTAGTTTGTTTAAATGTTTTAATTATGTTGTTTTTGTTTGTAGAAGTGCATCATTCCTTGATTTATTGTAAAATGAATATGAACTTTTTGATCTGTTTTGATGATAAACTGAAGCAATTTCAAAATTAACCCAATTAAGTGAGTTTTAAATCGTCCTATTTAGTTTATAAAGAAATTATGAAGAGGAACAAATTAAATGATTTGAAAATGATATCTATGTAGGTGCTGACGCTGTTGGCGGTTCTAGTGTTAACATACATTTAAATTAAATATGTGTAATGGCAAATGCCATATATGATTTTCTTACCTGGAATTCTGCCTTTTTGAACAGACTTTTTGACTGAGTCCTAGCTATATTGTCTGCAGTTCTAGGGTTAATATGAATCTAATATGATTCTCATCGCTCTAAATTAGATTTCAAATGATTAACTGTGTATGTAATGAAGATCATAGTGTCGGTTGAATCCATTTTCATAACCACTGTCTTTTAACTGATTTAAATGCGGAAACTGGGCTTAATCATCAGAATTTTGTATGACTTGACTTGACCTGAGCAATGACTTGACTTGACCTGACCTGAGCAATGACTTGACTTGACTCTCATCACAGTGACTTGGGACTTGCTTGATACTTGTAGGTCAAGACTTGAGACTTGCTCATGACTTGCACATGTAGGACTTACTCCCACCTCTGCGGAATATTAACATCTACTTTCAGAACTTCACTTCTAACATGACAAATATTTGCCACCAATGTCCGCACTCACAGCAATTGTCATTTGAGTGGATGATTTCCTTTGCATTCATTTCCGGTGTTTTTCCATTGTATAAAGAACGACTCACATGTCCTCCACGGTGATTTCTTTGAGGATCTGGCAGTAGTCGACGTTCCACACAGCCTGGTCATCCCAGACTTTGGAGGCCAGCAAGATGGCTCCCAGGACAATGCGCTTCCAGTTACAGGGGCAGATATCCAGCTCAGCGTAGGTAAGCAGGCGCTCCAAGTACACCTTGAGGAAGAAGAATATTTAACGGTCAATATTATACAAAAAACAATTCAACATAATCAAACACCATTTAGTTTTAGCCCTCCAAGGGAAAAGGTTGAAGTGTTGATACAAGTGTCCCTGTATAATTCCCACTTCTCAACTAATGTAGCATCTACTAAAACTGTTTTAATTCTTGTAACATGTTCGCCCTTGAGAATGATGTTATTGTTATGTTTCTTTCAAAATATTTCTCAGTGGAAACAGAACAAGCCAGAGCAAATCAGCAGCAAATCAGTGTGTAGGACTTTACTGCCCTCTGGTGACCGGTTGGTGATAACACCACAGTATTTAACAACATGAAAAAAAGGTTCTCGAGTCCTAAAGCTCGGACTTACTAGAGTAACAATGGCACATTCTGCAGTGAGCTGTGCAGCGCTGAAGAGCGTTCTGACGAAGCGGTAGATCACTTTGTGTTCTGGGTCCACACGGGAGTAGTCATCTGGCAATGGCTCTTTCTGTACGGGACAAACAGATCATACACGTGTCTGAATGAAGCAAGTACCATTTCATATTATACACTATTCCAAACTAGTTTGCCTCAAATCTCAGATTTATGGCAAATACACAACATTAAAAGATACCAACATCTTCCTGGACATACAGACAAAGTGATAGACGAATGAATGTATTAAACAAAACTACTTGCTTAAAGTGACTGATTCTGAGGAAATCTATTTATGATACTCACTGATAAGGGGTGCAACCTCTCATCAAAAATGTCCAGTGACCTGTCCGAGTCCCTAAAGAACACAAAATACATTTGTCAACACACTAAAAACGCAAACTAGTTTAAACAACATAAAGTGTCACAAATGTTATTATTAAAAGCAAATTAAATGATGTACATTTACCTGTTTTTGATGTGGTAGTATATTGCTAACGTGACACTGGAAAAAGAACAAAAAGAAATGAGGAAAAAGACAAATAGTAATTCAGTGTGATTAGTTTTGGCCTTTAAAAGCTTGGGTAAAAACATTCTTAGTGGGAGCATATTATGCTGCGGGTGTGTGTGTATATAAGCCTGTATGGTGTTGCAAAACATTTGCACACTTTCACAGAAGCTTCATTTAAACCCGCTGAGATAATCCTGATTAAATGAGATTTTCCAAATTCACCGAAATATTGACATTACAGAGGAGTGTCCGAAATGAGGCGTGAGAGCATCTGCTTTAGGCCCCGGCTCCACGAGGACAAATACGGCAAAACGCATCGGAGTAACGCAAATGCAAACGCAAAAAACCTTCCGTCCACACGCAATATACACCGGATTGTGTCAAGCTCCACGAGACGGCTCCGTTTACATCCAAACGCTGGAAAAGCTGCAGTACATATGCCGAACCTGTACGTGGCGCTGTAACTTCCTCCACAAAAGCAGCAACTTCCTCCACAAAAGCAGCGAAGAAGAATGGTTGTCATGGCTGCACTTCTGTGTATTCTCCGCGGTGGGGGCCGACAGAACCGGGCAGAGTTTTTCGCCGGTCAGCGTGTGTTAAAGTTTAAATCTTCCGGACAAAATTATAAAAGTGCCGGTCAAAGGTCTTCATTGTTATTTATTGAGCTTTAAAACAAATGAATAACGACGATATAATGATATATAATCATCAAATACACGGAGCCTGTCTCTTTTTCCTCTCTTCTGACAGCGTCAGTGTCTGTCTCATGCAGCAGCTGATCCTGTAATGAGTGACCCGACAGTAAAAATGAACATATTTATAACTAGTTTAGGTAGTTTGAGAGGTAATTAAAATAGCTAAGGGTGATGATCTGACTTGAAGTGTGTGTTTTGCTCCCGCTGCATCACAGCGGCAGGAGCTGCGTGTCTCCGTCCTGTCAGATTAGACTTCACTCGCGTTTATGTCCATATTGAGATAAAGATAAATAATCTGAATTCAAGGAGGAGCTCCTGTAGATGTTGCACAAAGAACTGTAGCATGGTCAGTAGCGACTGGAGCACGATAGCAACCCCGCGGGGGAGAGGCGGGGCTATGAAAACGAATGACCGTATAGGCGACTCCACGGCCCCGTTGGACCCCCAGAGCGCTCCGTTCCCAGATCTATCCACCTTTGGACCCGTTGTCGTTTGCGGGGTCTGTTTCTACGTTTCCCTTACGGCGTCGTCGAGCTTAGAGGGCTATACGCATGAGAAATATGCGGATTCAACCCGTTTTCGTCCTCGTGGAGCCGGGGCCTAAGTCACGCATCCATTAGGTATTACTTTAGGATTACAACACTGTGATGCAACAGGATTTTCTCGTGTGAAATGAGTGACTTTTGGACCGCTCCGTGTGTTTCTGTTTCTCTGCGTGGGAAATTCTCTCACCATTTGATTGTGCTTTTGAGGTTTGGCTGGCTGACGGTGTTGTCATCTATGAAGATAGTTGAACAGGAGCTGTATTTCTTTGACAGTTGACCAGGAGATATCTTGAAACATAAAATCACACAATCAGCAACTAGAGTTTATCACGGGACAGGAAAAGTCTTGGTAGCTTCATCTATTTAGACTGGTTCCACACTTTTGAATAGCTGCCCAATACTGGCGTCTAAAACAATATTGCTTTGCACATTTAATCTGTAAGGATAACTGATTTATGATCAACAAATACATTTTGAAACTTACATGACTGATATGGTTTATGTGGTTGCTTTTCCTCTTGTCTCGTACTGTAAAGGGAGAGAAATGTTCAACAAAGACAAACAAGAAACCTGTGTCCAGTGTTGAACTGTATCTTGTAAAGAATTAAATGTAGTTTTAAACTGAAACCTTTTGTTGATTGTTAACCTGCAGCTAATAAAGACATCTACAGCAGTTTGATTATAGAAAAGACAATTTTTAATAAGTTATCAACTTAATTGTTAGCAATGTACCCCTCAATTAATAAAGCTCTACAATTAAGTAGTAAGGACCATTTTAAACCACTCCAAGGATTACAACAACAACTATTACCATTACAATTCATCTCCTGTTTTAATATTCATCACTAAATCATGTGTTTCAGATGTTTGTGCTTCTAGGGATCTCTTGCTAAACAGCTTATGTGAATCATCGGCGTGTGTGTGCGCCATGTTAGGATTGCTCACCGTCTGTCTGGGACTTGTACAGGAAGATAGTGCTCGCTCGGGCGTGGTCAGACGGGTTAGACTCAAAGGCCAGCTCTGAGAAAACAAAGTGTTCATAAGCGCTTTATAATGACAATCTGTCAAAAGGCATCTTGTTGCTGCTTTGCTCTCACTTGTGGGTAGTGATAAGCCAACAAAGAGAACAGGAAGTCATTAGCGTACCCATCGACCAAACACACTCACATAGTGTACTACTGCAAATTGTCCCTCACTACTAACAAATAATGCAACGCAAGTCTATGGATTTATTGCACTATATTACACTAGTGAGGGTGGCTGCTTCACAGGTTTGACAGAGCTTCACTAGGGAAGAAATTGCGTATCTGGTTATATCTTTGGGTTAGTGGATGCAAATGACTTGACAGCAAACAAAACACTTTAGAGAAGAAAATATGAACTGGTGTAATGTGTATATAAAAATGCTATCATTGAAAAACAGTTAACTTTCTACTAATTCACATTTTCCACAAGTACCAATGGTTGTTGTATAACTGTTCAGATCTAGAGAACGTGTTGCCCTCTGTGTTACCATATAAAGACAACAAGTATATAGACCAGTGGGCAACTGTCTGTTAAAGTGAGAATAGACAGACCTCTTTTATCCGAAACATACATTTTGGCAGTCAAGTATGGCATGGCTTTAAAGTCTTCCACAAGTAGGCTAACTGCAATTGTGGAATAACAGTTATATCTGCTAGTTGTTTTTAAAGCAAACATAAAACAGCACTGGTTTATTCACATGCAAGACTTTAAGAATTGTGTTTTATCTCAATCCATGCAGACGGCACATTACATAAAAGGATGGGGATTAGGGCATGGCAGCATTTGTGAAGCAGGGACAGCAAGAAGAGAGATGAGGAATGTAGGAAGGACTGCTGGACAGATTCTGACCCTCACCCTGCCAACAGCTGCTCTCCCCACACTGCACTCGCATACTACTGTCCACAGCAACATGTCTGGGATGAACACTGCCTGTGTCTAGGAGTGGCGACACAAGGACTTGCAGTAAAAAAAACGTAGCTTGGGCCTACATCAATGGGAAATATCTGAGATGCTTTTCTGAGAAGCTTTTCTATGTGGTCTAAAGCAGAGCTTGTGATCACAGTGTGAGCAAAAACAACTGTCAGGACTGCCTGAAGGCCATAGGCTAAGCTTTTTAACACGATAAGTCTATGTAAATGTCACTAAATAAAGCAAATTACAACATGAAGTTTGTGCAAAGATACAGGCACGATTCACAAAATAAGTTTGCTATGGTTCAGTGGAGATCTCTCTCCATTAAAACGGTATCCTTCCCACACCCCGCTCATAAACGGGGCATGGGCATAAACCTCAGGGTGGCAAAAGACAAAAGTTATGCTTTTTATTGCCAATTACTGAGTGATTAATATGGTGCCCAAGAGATGATGAGTTTGTTTTTATTTCTGATGTGATGCCAGTGTGATCAACATGATGGATTGTCCAAATGAAGAGTGCAAAGAATGCCCTCATCATCATTGCAGTGCTGGCACCAGGATGGCAATAAACACGTCTGGCAACTTGGCCATAGCTAGAGGGAGTCTGTGTGCATCTCCCTGCAGTAGAGAGATACTGTCTTTTCATTATGAAATTGTTACACTGAAAATGTATCTTGTTTGTGTGTAAATTATTATTTCTAGGGGCCCCTTATGCTGACAAGTAACTGTATGCGTGCGTGCATATGGAGTGTATATTTGCTAACTGTCATCAAAGTCAGTGTGCTTTGAGTCATGTGAAGAAGCTTCTTTACTATGACAGTGACTAGATTCAGATGAACTTCCCTTTAAACAAACAACATGGGTGTGACCTGTACGGGTCCAGTAAATTAGCTGTTTAATCATCACAGGTTTTCCCGGTTATCAGGTGGGACACCTACCGTCAGGGACCTCTCTGTCGCTGATATGCTGCAGGTAGGGCAAGGTGTTATCATCGCTCACTTCCGTGCTGGTCTCCAGCTCCTCCAGCCGCTCCGCCGGTTGTCTCGACGGTAGTTTGGGGCTTGACTCGGGAGAGACGCAGCATGTCACCGTGTTTCCCATTCTGAGTCGGGATAAAGCTCCACACTATTCCAGCCAAGTCCAAGTAGTGCAAATATGTGTAGCTAGCTCAAATTAGCCTCCTTCTGCTTCATACACATTACCAGGCTTTTCTCAGTATTGGGACTATCTTTGCGTGCTAAATCGCCGCTGTCCGCCAACTCCCTGGGATCGCATTCCTGTCCAGTTGAGGGTATAAGTGTAAGAGTCAAAGAAGAGTTAGCCACTCAGGCTCACCCTGTAGTATAAAATCGGAGTAGTCTCATGTAATATTCGACGTGTTCTAGCAATAAAAACTAGCAGTTGTTAGTTAAATGCAGGGTTCAATTCATTCATTCAAGATGAGTGTAGCTGCTCGGTAACGTTAGCTAGCTAAATAGCATCATAGCAAGGTAGCCAACTGTCTCCTTAACTTTTTTTTATTACACGTTTTTCTATCGTGTGAACACTATCGACTTAAAAAAATATACATGAGACGAATTCAAAACGTAAGTTTCTGGCAAATACTTTTACGAGACTTTTCAAACAATCCCGCAGATGTCTTCTTGCTCTCGGGTCTGTCTGAAGCAAAATCTAGCCCGAGGCTTTTGAGGCCTCCAGTGGAAAATGAAGGTAAAAAGAGAAAAATTCAACCAAGAATGTAAAAGTGCAAGAAATTCTCAATGAGGTCTGACCGACTAAGCTTTGTTTCAGTTCCTCATTGGAGAGCCACGTTTGGTAGCTGGTCCGTACTCCCCCATCAGAGCCTACACCCCTTCAGATTTGTGCTGGGTGTCCTCCATCTGTTGCCGGAGCTCACATACGGCTCTTCTTGGCACGGAGATGTTGTAGTCCCGCCTACTTAGAAATTCCATTCACTTCCATTCGCTGCTGAATCAAAACATGGTCAGTTTAATACCGCTCATTGGTTGAAAGAGCTGTCTGTTGGAGACGATTTAAACTGATGAACTGTATATATACAACGCTACTATTTTTGTATCGTCACCGACCCACACCCTTTTTGACAGTGGAAACTAAAGCCCATCATTTTTGTATCTGTCAATAAATGCATACCTCTTCATTGAAGTAATAGACATATGTGTTTTTCCCATTTCTGCTACTAAAAGGGAATAAGATTGATATAGTATTTTGTACTAGAATGCATTCATCTGAAAGGAATAGTAACCAGATCATTTGCAAATAAGATATTATACCAGACATATGATCACATTATAAAATAAGATGAATTAATATGGATTTAACTACTCAACATTATCGAACATTGTTCAAATTAGCTCAGACATGGTTTACTGAAACATCAAAATGCATTTGCCATACTTCAGTATAATAAAAACAATATTCAACTGCATTTTAATATAAAACAAAGACATTGAAATACATGTTTGTGTTTAAATAGTTCCCCTTCATGGCTCATCAATGTCTGTCGTTAGCGAATTGTTCATATTTTACTTTATTTGAACAGCAAAAAAATGCACAACCATCGTCAAGAGCAGTTTATTGCAACATAGCAAGTGTTTACAAAAGAGTAATGTAATCTCAGATTAACAGCATTTACAAATAATAGGCTGGTATAGTTTTATAATGTGACAATGTTCAAACAAACGGTATGTAATGCATTAGTTAGTGATCTTGTCTCTACAAGATACTATACAATACATGGCATTTTAGATTGATAACTTGTAAGTGTCAATATATAAACTGATCACATTAAAAGTTAGAAAAAATGTTATTATTACTATTCTAGAAATTCGGAATATATAATTTTACATACACGTCTAACAATCTGTTTCATGCACAAGCGAGGCCGGTGGGCATGAACTGTTCTGGCACAGACATGAAAACATTTTAGGTTTTGTTGGAAAGATATTGTGTAATCACATGACAGAGTTGAGCTCGCTATATAAAAAATGATTATTACAAGTTTTTTTTTCAGCACCAGCACTGGATGTGTGAATTACAGGAGTTGATTTTCATTAATTTTTTCAGAATACACTTAAAAAACCAACAAACATATGTAAAACCCCTGACGCTGATATTTCCTAATAAGTGCTTCTTTCAAAATTACAATTTCCTCTCCTTTCTCCCTCTGTCGGTCTACATGAGCTGATTCATCAACGCCTTCTGAATTACTCTATATAAGAGGTGATGCTGTCATCGTATTTTTATCAGATTCGACCCATTAATTCTTTATATTTTACAAATACATGCTGTACAATAGAAAACAATCTTAAACTACAAAAATAAAACTGATATAGCTACCATGAAAATGTGATCATGTTATATAAAGAAACAATCAAATAAACATAAATTGTGCCTTAATTAAATGGATTGGAAGATATAATAATAGGTTGCTTCTAAACTAAAACTTAACTTACAGTTAACAACATCACAATGTACGGATCAGTCTGAAGCCACCAAAAGTTCTGCAGTTAAAAAAAAAAAGGAAATGAAATGACATGATATATGTTGTGTTCCTGACTGCTCTCTTTAGAGTCCCTCTTCTCTACAAATAGACACAGTTCATCCTTAACAGGGTACCGCACTCCAAAATATAACATCTCCAACAAAGGCCTCTTCTCTTACACTTAGCTGCCATGACTGCGGTAGGCCTGGTGGATTACATGAATACACTCACATACATTGTTTTATATTCTACATTGACCCATTTTACAAATATGCAAAATTGGTTTCATACAAGCCATAAGAACATTTTCCATATCAAATAAAAATAAAAACAGGTCTACACATGCTGTAGAGTCTATATACAGTTATATAAAAAACCAACAACAGACAAATACGTACATATATCTTTTCAAAAACCTCGTACACTTCCATAAAATTGATTTATTAGAAACAGAACAAACATTTTCATGGATTATTAGTGTTGAATTCATGTAAGTTTAGTCTATATCTCATGTAGATTTGACAAAGAATACAAAAAGAATTATTATCATACATCCACGCAATCCATATCTTACCACCATCTAAAGGCCCCTACACACCAATCTGACACCAAAGAACACGTCCCGTCGGACCCGACTGTTGTGTCGCCTCCCGTCTCCTGCGTCTTGGCCAACAGTCACACTGGAAGCAAGCCCCAAGGAAGTGCGCCGGACTCTGATGAAAATATTCGTTGTGTCCAAACGGCGGTACTACAATTTCCGTATCAGTCCGTGACGTCACTGGGCCCAGAAATAATGTATCCCATTGACTAACATTGGGAAAGAGACGTCTGTAAATCAGCGGATAATTAAAAAAAAACTAAATAAACTACCCAGTATGAACTATTTTATAGGCCTTATTATAATCATTAGGTCCTTAAAGTTGTAAAATGCACTAAAAGCCGAATCTAGATTTATTTTCTCTCTCCATTCATTCTACTGAGCCGAGAGTGGGAGCTCGGGGGGCGGGGCTTAAGGGGCACATGCTCTGTGAGCGCACATACGGGTTCTTCTGCTCTGACAGCCAGGCATAATGGGTAATCTGTGACGTTTCGCTCTCTCAAAAGTTGGGCCATTTTGTCCTCATGCGCCAATGAGCAGCTCTCATAGGAAAGAACGAGACCCCCCGCCTCCGACGCTGTATCCAGTTCTTATTATACATCCATGACTGGAACACACCGCAAAGACTTCAGCCGACGGCCAAGTAGCACGTACGAACTGAGCATGCGTGAGTGGCAATAACTCTCCTTACCAGCAGTGGTGTGTATTCGTCATTCAAAAGAGGCAACAACCGGAAGACAGACTGCGTGATACACAGAGAGAAAAAGAACAGACTGCGTGATATAAACATACAACAAATAGCGTGTGCGTTCCATTTTCACTCTACAGCGAGAAGCTCATGGGGCTTTCCCGAACGTTTGTTTGGGTCCCTCACTTCCGTTTCGCTTCTCATGCACTGATTCGCTAAGCTGAACAGCCAATCAGAGTGATTTCTTTAACCGACAGCCTTTTACTGACAGCCGCGGCGGAAGGTGTCGGCACGGCCGAAAAGACACAACGGGGCGGTGTCCCTACCCGATCCGCACTGCGCATGTGCGAGATGGTCCGCCATATTGGACAACTCCATACTGCAACTCAAATAGGACATTTGACGTCTAGACGGCTGCCTGATTTGCATCGTGCATGCGCGAGTCATAAACGTCTCAAATATCTATACAAAAATCTTTTGTTATTTTATTTGAAATAAAATGAAGGACATTCACAGTTAATGTAATTAGATATAAATGATGAATGCCATACATATTGCATACATTCACAGTCAATATTTCTTCAGTATGTATGGTAGCTGTCTAACAGAAGTTAAATCAATTTCTCACTTATTCTGACAATGTACTTAACCCAATAAAATGACCCAATAAAAGGAGTTGTTAAATAATAGTGAAGTCACGTTTTAATAACAATAACTCATCTCTCTCGTTCAGATTAATATTGTCGGGTTTTTTGAGTGTTCTTTTTCTGCTTTGCCAAACGCCACTGTGTCAAGTGTCCTATTAGAGTTGCCGGATGTAGTTGTCAAATATGGCGGACCATCTCGCACATGCGCAATGCAGATCGGGTAGGGATGTGGATCGGGTAGTGACAGGCGGGACACACGAATCTGAGTAGGGCGACAGGATGCTCATCGACGGCCAGACATCTATCGACATCTATCGACGGCCGAAATCGGCTTGGTGTGTAAGGACCTTAACAGATGTTGCAAAAGACACAATACTGTAAAAGACTGAAAAATTAAATGTCAAGGAAACATATTTTGAGGACACACTGACATCAACTGTGGCACAATAAGATAAAGGTGGGCTTGGAAAACATTAAGGTCTTTTTGAACAACCGGGATAATATTTGTTTTTAGACATCACTCTCATAACAACATTTTACTCAACCAGTCATATCTTGGGAGACAGCGAGCTGGGATTTATAAAATAACCTTTAGTTATCTAAACCACGAACACACTTGAATGTCCATTAAACGTGTGCTTTGCCTTGAAAACTACTTGTGTGCAGAACTGCAGTAAGTACAGTCAGTCAAAGCATCCAAGTTGGGTTATAACTTTAGATTCAGACTTGATTTCATTTAGATAAAAATTGCACCTTGTGTTGCTGTTAGGCTTGTGACCCTAATTTTAATAGCATCTCACATGTATGTTATGGAGGAAGAGAGAAACAAGATGAGAAAATTAAAAAGCAAGACTTTACTCTATTATTTGTCCTTTTTTTTTAACAATGTGCCATCTGCTGACACACACAGCTCTACTTCCTAAAAAGTTTGGCAGTTATTAGCACAATTTATTAAATGTTATGTGCAACTGACTGAGCTCGCCTGATAAAGAAATGTCCGACTCTTAATTTTGCCAAAATCTTTTATGATAACGTTTCTCTACAATGACTATGATGAGTACAGTGTTGTTCTAACCTGTATGAGTATTTGTGTAATCTTCCAACATTAGGACGCAGGCTTATAACAGTTACATGAAGAAACATTTTAACCAGGGCTGCACGATATAAGGAAATTATATGTCAGAGTTGAATATCCTGATAACGATATAACTAGCGATTAATAAACAGATTAAAGGGTACTGTTATATGTGTATATTTAAATTGACTAGACTTGGATCTTAAAGAGCTGCAGAGTTTATTCATAGATAAAACTGAAATCTACACTGTACATTTACTGCCATGTGACTTCTTTACCGCTATTTTTCTTTAAAAACATACCTAAAACAACAAACGCGTTGTATGCTAACAACGTATATATTGTTTTATGATAAATGACAATAATATCTATGGGCCGAACAAGCCTACCTGTGTT